CGTTCCCATATTCTGTTGCATGGTTGGCCATGAATCCATCAGCACTAGCAAGCTGTTCTCAGACCCTAAATCATTAGCAGGAATCCATCTGGCTTCAGTTAACTGCCTGGGTTTGACAAAGTACCCATAATTTTATAGAAGAGAGTGGCATGATTTGGCAAAGATTGTACCTGCGGGATTCAGAACACAAATGATTTTTGGGAGGTGCTCTTCCTTGGAAGTCAAATAATGACAGAACCTGGATTTGTGGATGACTAGTGAGCAATGCTGTCTTTGCTATAGTCTAATACTACCTACCAATTCTTACCAGGTTTACCTAGGGAAAATTCAAAGATACAGTGCTTCACAGATGAAAGAACACACGAAGTAGTAATCAGGAGGAATCTCATCCTCTAAGAAATGTTTTAGGGCACCAAGTTTATTACAAAGGCAGATAAACGAGGCATATACAGTGAGAACAGTCCAACCAAATATAATGTAAATTGGGCTAACAACTATAAACTCTTTCTTTAATAGTTTTAACTATAAGTCAATATGAAGAGCTAGTTCAAGTTTGAGTTTTTGAAGTATGGGTTTAAGGCAAGGAAGGAAAAAAAGTCTTGAAAATATAAAAAACACGTATGTTTTTAATTTAGAGGGACTATAAGAGGTAAGCACTTTTGGATCCGGGTGACAAGATCATCCAATTTTCTAACATTAAATATTCCACTTTAGTATGGAATTCAAAATTGGGGGAAATCATGATTTAAGAAAAACATAGACTTTATATAAAAAGCAAAAGCCTATAAAACAAGAATTTAAAAAAACCATTACAGGGCCAGCCCCGGTGGCCTAGTGGTTAAGTTTGGCATGCTCTGCTTTGGCGGCCCGGGTTCGGTGTCTGAATGTGGACCTACACCACTCATCTGTCAGTGGCCCTGCTGTGGAGCTGGCTCACATACAAAAAGAGGAAGATTGGCAGTGGATGTTAGCTCAGGGCGAATCTTCCTCAGCTAAGCTTCCTCAGAAAAAAAAGAAAATACATTACAAATATATTGTAAAACAAAACAAAAATATATTTGTGTTATTGATAGTAAAATGCACTAGACATGCATAAAGTAAAACACTAAGTTTATTTTTGAATATATGAATTCATTTTGGGGAGAATTGACTTCATAACACTGTTGAGTCTTTGAACCCATGAACATAGTCAATCACTTTATTTTTTTGGTCTTATTTAGTTTTAGCAATGTTTAATAATTTTAAGTGTATAGATTTTGCTTATCTTTTGTTAAATTAATTCCTAAGTATTTTATGTTGATGCTATTATAAATAAAATTATATTTTATTTTCCAGTTGTTTCCTGTGGTTGTATAGAAACACAATTGATGTTTGTATACTCACCTAGTATCCTACAACTTTGCCAAATCAGTTATTAATTCTACTGGTTGCTTTTCAGATTATTTAGAATTATATACCAAAAAATCACGTTTTAAATGAATAAAGAGTTTTCATTCTTTCTTTCTAACTTCCTTTTATTTCTTTTTCTTGACTGACTGCCCTGAGTAGGACCTTTAGTACATCTTTTACAATAATGAATAGAAGTGGTTAGAGTGGGCATTGTTGCCTTTTTCACAACATTAGGAAAGCTCCCAATATTTCACTGTTACATAAAATATTGGCTGTAGATTTTTCATTGATCCTCCTTATCAGATTGAAGTTACCTTTAATTCTTAGCTTGCTGAGAATTTTATTGTGAGTAGGTGCTGAATTTTGTCAGATGCTTTTTCTGTGTCTATTGAGATGTTTATATGCTTTTTATTCTTTTAATATGATAAATTACATTAATTGATATTTGAATTTTAAACCACCTTATGTTCCTTGGGCAAACCACACTTGATCATGGAGTATTATCCTTCTTATATATTGCTGGATTCAATTTGCTATTTTGCATCTGTATTCATATGGCTGGTTTTCTTTTACAGTAATATTTGTCAAGTTTTGGTGTTAGGGTTTTGCTTGCCTAATCAAATAAGTTGGGGAGTATCTCTCTTCTGTTTTCTGGAAAGTGTGAAAGATTGTTACTATTACTTCCTTAAATGTTTGATTGAACTCACCATTGAAGCCATCTGGGCCTTGAGTTTTGTTTGTTTTGTTATGTTTTTAATTACAAAAGTTTTTTTTAGTAAATAACATTCTATTTATTTTTGTGGTTGTTTTAGCAATTTGAGTTTTCCAAAGGATTTTTCATTTTATGTCAGTTATTGAATTGATTTGCATTGTATGGTTTAGAACATAATATTTATGGAATCTGAAATAATATCTCTCCTTTTTTTCTGATATTTGTAATTTGTATTGTCTTTCATTTTTTTTTATCAGTCTTGCTAAATTATTAACAATTTTTTTTATCTTTTCAAAAAAGCAACTTTGGTTTTAATTTTTTTCAATTGTCCAGTCTTCACATTGGGTGTTGTTTTGACTTCAAGTTTACTCACTTGTTTTTCTGCCATCTCAAATCTACTATTAAGCCTATCCAGTGAATTAAAAATTTTGATATTGAACTATCTAGCGCTTGAATTTCCATTTATTCCTTTTTTATAGTTTCCATTTGCTGCCAGTATTTGTCATCTGTCTACTCATTATAGCATCTTGAACATATTTATAATAACTACTTTCTCATCCTTGTCAGTTATTTCCAACATCTAGATCATCTTGTGGTAGGTTTGTGTTGACCACTTTTTCTCCTAATTTTGAGTTACAGTTCCTAGATTCTATGCATGTTTAGTAATTGTTTATTGTATGCTGAATATTGTAGATGATAATATGGATGATATCGTGGATATCTTTTTCTGAAGAGTATTGATTTTTGTTGTAGTAGACAGCTAAATTACTGACTAGAAAATATACAGTTCCATATAACCCAGCAATTGCATTTCTGGGTATTTATCCTAGATAAGTCAAAACTTAGGTTAACACAAAAACCTGTACACAAATATTCACAGCAGCATTATTCATAATAGCTCAAAACTGAAAACAACTCAAATGTACTTCAACGAATGAACAGTGAAAAAAAGAACCGTAGTGCCTCCATACCATGGAGCAATAAAAAGGAACGAACTATTGATATACACAACAAATTGGATGGCTCTCAAGGGCATTACGCTGAGTAAAAAAAACCCAATCCAAAATGTTTCCATCCTATTTGATTCATTTATATAACATTCTCAAAGTGACAAAATTATAGAAAGAGAGAACAGATAAGTGGTTGACAGGAGTTAAGGAAAGGGGAGGAGGGTGTGATTATAAACAGCAAAAGACAGTCTCAGTTGTAGAGTTATAAACAAAGATATACCAAAAAACAAGTGCATGAAAAAACTGGCAAAATTCAAGTAAGGTCTGTAGTCTAGATAATTGTATTGGGCCAGTTTCTTGGGTTTTGTAATATACTGTAGCTATATAAGATGTCACCATTGGGGGTAGGTGAGTGGTGCATTCATGGAATCTCTCTGTACTGCTTTCACAAGTTCTTGTGAGGTTGTGAGGCTATAATTATTTCAAAATAAAAAGTAAAAAAAAAAAAATACCAGCTGATCATCTTGAAATTGGAGGCTTGGTTTTTATAATTTGCCACATCAGATGTGTTTTAGTTTTGCACTTAGACTTAGGAGAATCCTTAGTCCTGGGATATAGTCTTTACTCCTGAGATGTGGCCCTTCTGTGGTTTCTATGGGAAGCCTTTTGTGTTCACCAAGCCTTTTTAAAGATTTTATTTATTTATTTTTCCCCCCAAAGCCCCAGTAGATAGTTGTGTGTCACAGCTGCACATCCTTCTAGTTGCTGTATGTGGGACGCGGCCTCAGCATGGCCAGAGAAGCAGCACGTCGGTGCGAGCCCGGGATCCGAACCCGGGTCGCCAGCAGTGGAGCGCGCTCACTTAACCACCAAGCCACGGGGCCGGCCCTCACCAAGCCTTTTTAACTTGGCAGGATTCAAAATCCAAGCTGTGTCTCCTCTGTGGTAGGCAGTAACTGAAATCTCTGTTCAGCTTTTCCATCTTCCTTCCAGCTGTTGCCTTCTGTTGGACTACTTGGAGTCTCCCTGTGCGTGAGCAGTTCAGGGATCAGCCAAGGATTTGAGGAACATTTGTATACAGATTGGAGCCCCCGTGCCCTCTTTACTGTACTGCCCTTCTTTCCATGATTTTCTCCTCCTGTTATCTAGCTTTCTCTCAGCTCTGAACTACATTCTCTAATGCCTCAAGAGACTGGTTTTCTCTTTTAGGTCTAGCTTCCCACTACTTAAGGGACGTACTGGAAAGAGTTGTCTTAAGGGAAAGTCTTATAAGTATATATCTCATCCATTGTGGTTCCTTCTTTCAATGATCAAATCCCCTACATTTTTGCCTGCTTTTGGTCACTTTTAATGTCTTTGAACAGTTATTTTTTGTATTTTGTCCAGAGTTAATAATTGTTATCTGTGGGCAGGTTAATCTATTACAAGATAGTCCGTCATTACTGGAACCAGAGCTCAACAAATTTTATTTTTAAGTATTATGAATATAAAATGTTTGTAAACTTTTTCAATAAAACATTTGAAAGTAAAATATCATAGTAACTTTAATACATAGTGAGGCATATTACATAATCAAGGAAAGAATTAAATGTAAACTGAAAACATGAAAAATCAGAATTTATAAGTAGAAAGGATAAATATACATATGCAGCCAGAAACAATTTTTAAAAGACATATAAATGGGTCTTTCAGAAGATTAAGGGCAGAATATAATTATGTACTACCTAAGCAGCAGTCTTAAATAGGAATACATGCTTACTCACCAAAAAGGACTTCAGCTGTAAAATCAGATCTTCGTCCATTGTCTTTTGGAAATATTTTTTCATTTGGCCTTAAAAGTTGCGTTTTCTTTCTTTACTTAGCATTTTTAACCTTTATCAATTTCTTAGAGAATAAAATGACAATCTAACTTCCCTTCTGCTTTTATTTTTTCTTCTCCTTTGTTTTAGTTGTTTGCCTAATTGGCCTTAAATGAGGTGAGAGTGAAGAGACTAGAGCCACCTCTGGAAAACATCGTTGCCCCATTCCCTTGGAAGCTACCCTCCGGAGCACTAGATTTGACCATATCTGTTTTGAGGACTCATTATGAACAAAGAAGTCTCCCAGGTAGGAATGTAGCTCAGTTTTTAAAGATCTTTGTCTCTACAAAAGCATGGAGGGAAGATGATTACCTGTTGACTCTTATTGTTTATGGAAATATGTGTTTGATCTCAGAAGCTTCAAGGTTATTATAAAACAAGTGCTGATATTCCTAAATGAAAATGTTAGAAAAGTTCTAGATTATGCTTTATAAACTGCTTTAATGCACATTGAAATTAATATGGCTTTAGATTGATATCTTACAATGAGACCCTCAGGTCTTTACTGAATTGACAGTGGAAGCAGAAAAACTATACTGAATCATCCCCAGATTTGGTCCATATAATTGTAACATATATCCAGTCATTAATTCTATATGTATGTAGTGTCCATTTTGTACATTTGGGCTTTTTACATTGTTGCTGTTTCCTAAGAGTTTGTGAGCTAACATGACAACGGTCATAGCAGCCTATAGCTAGAAAAAGAAACATCCCTATGCTAAGATGGTAGATAAAAGTTGAAGAGTAATTAGAAACTGGTAAATCAGTAAGGGAAAGACTTCCAGCAGGAATTTTTTTTTTATTGAGGTCATTATGGTTTATAACTGTGAAATTTCAGGTGTACATTATTATTTATCGGTTTCTGTATAGACTGCATCGTGCTCACCACCAATAGTCCAATTTTTATCCATCACCATATATATGTGCCCCTTTACCCCTTTCACCCACCCCCCCAACCCCCTTCCCCTCTGGTAACCACTAATCTGTTCTCTTTGTCCATGTATTTATCTTCCACATATAGGTGAAATCATGCGGTGTTTGCCTTTCTCTGTTGGCTTATTTTGCTTAACATAATACCCGCAAGGTCCATCCACGTTGTTACAAATGGGACGATTTTGTCTTTTTTATGTATTGTATATATATACCACATCTTCTTTATCCATTCATCTGTTGATGGGCACTTGGATTGCTTCCACGTCTTGGCTATTGTGAATAATGCTGCAGTAAACGTAGGGGTGCGTAAGTCTCTTTGAATTGTTGATTTCAAGTTCTTTGGATAAATACCCAGTAGTGGGATAGCTGGGTCATATGGTATCTCTATTTTTAATTTTTTGAGAAATCTCCATACTGTTTTTCATAGTGGCTGCACCAGTTTGCATTCCCACCAGCAGTGTGTGAGGGTTCTCTTTTAGCCACATCCTCTCCAACATTTGTTATTTATTATCTTGGTAATTATAGCCATTCTAACAGGTGTAAGTCGATATCAGGAAATTTTTTAAATTAATAGACTTTTTAATTGAATTATAACACGTATAGATAAAAATCACAAATCTTAAGTGTATAACTCTTGAGTTATCATGTATGTACTCAACATATTTGTGTAAACAGTATCTAGATTAAGAAATAGAACAATATCAGCGTCCCAGAAACCCCTTGCATCCGTCTGCCCCAGCTGCACACCCACCCACTTTTAAAGGAGGAGATGGTTGTCACCATGGAAAGTGACAGCTGTCAACTTGGAGGGTGGAGTATAACAATCACAGAACTTAAAGGCAGTTAAATTTAGTTGGCTCACAAGCAATGTGTATGTTTGGAATAAACAGTGAATTTGGGAGATGGAGGGAAGACAGTCAGTTGGTGGAGAGTAAGGACTGGAGGTGCAAAATGATTTGAAAAGATATTCATTAATATCTTTTGATAATATCAATATTAATCTTACTACCTCTCTTAAAAATCTCATTGGTTTCTAGAACAAACACACACCAGATTTCTGGCTTTTGTTAACTTAGTGATGCATTGTATTTCTTAACTTAAGTTTTCTGTTACTTGAAATCAGACTGTTGGTTCTCAATAAGAAGAGATAAATGAGTTAATAAGCATTGTGATTAATAAAAACAGTTTTGTAGAGTAAGATGTATTATAATTAAGAGGAATTTTAATCATGTAGGAGAGCCCTCTCTTTAAGAGTTTTCAGGAAGGGAATGTTAGTACCTTGACTTTATGAAAGAGAAAGGGAAAGAAAATGGAATAACCTAGTGATTAAACTCTGGCTTGGGTGTGTTTTTGTTTTTTTTTTTAACTCATTGTTCAGTGAATGACTCTGAGAAAGTCAAATTTTCTTCATTTCACAATGAAAATTTTTATGTTTTCTATTTCCCTTTAACACTTATTAAAAACAATAGTTACAAGATTGGTATACTGAACATCTGTATGTCCATTGCCCAGTTTCATCAATTATATTTTGTTACATTTGCTTTATCTCTCTCTGTATTAACTACTAATTCTCCCTCTCCTCCTCCTTTGCCACCATTATGATGATGATGATAATGATGATGGTGTATCATTTGAGAGTAAGTTATAGACATTTATGACCCTTACCTCCTAAATATTCAGTATATATCTCCTATTTAAGCACAATATAATAGTCAAATTCAAGAAACAACATTTTCATTGTTATTAACTTATATATAGTCCATATTAAAATTTCATCAGCTGTCTAATCCAAAATCTTACATTGCATAGTTGTCACATCTCTTTGGTTCCTTTAACCTAAAATTGTTTACCTTTTCTTTGTCATCCATGATATTGACATTTTGGAAGAGTCCAGCTGTTTTGTACAGTGGCACTCATTTTGAGCCTGTCTGTTTTCCATCTATATTTGTTTCTAAAGAGACTATCATATGAGACTTTGGAGATTCATAGATTTGTTACTGAGAACCTTATCTGTTAGAACAAAGCCTAGAAAGATTTTTTTTAGGAGAAAGTATGTTAAAACATGGTAGGAGCCCCAAATTCCATAAAGTAGATTCCTAAAGATGATTTAAATGTTATTGAAAGAAATTTTATATATGTGTGCATATGTGTGTGTATATATATATATAATCTTAGAATCCAAGACTTTTAAATTTTTGAACAAAAATTGGGTTTTGTAAAGGCAGAACTTTTGATTTTGAAGGAATAACACGTTTACCTTTTAAGGTGAATCACATCTAGAAAATAATTGGTTTTATATTATAATGATCATAGAAGATAAGTCAGGATTAGGTATATGATCAGTTTTATTTATTTCCATGTGATGTTTGGACTAAGAATTGAAAAGATTCTCTCTTCATGTGTTTGAGAACCTTGTAAATACCACCCAGGATTTTTAGATGTGGTATAATTTAAAGTCAGCTTTTTTGGGAAGACTCTAATGAAGAAGCATTTTAGTGTAGCGGCAAAAGCAAAAAATTTGGGACTGTATTGTTGGCTTTTCTATTTATCGGTTATGTGACTGTAAGTTAGTTACATCAGTTAAAACACAGCCAGATTCTGGAACCAGGTTACCTAAAATGATTTCTATCTCTGCCACATATGATGTTTGGCAGATTAAGTAATCTTTCCATGCCTCAGTTTTCCCTTCTCTAAAATGGATTATAATGGTACCTACCTCATATTTTATGACTGAATAAATTAATAAGGTTTATGAGTAAATAATGTAAGTTAAGTGCTTAAAACTCTGATTGGCACATAGTAAATCCTATATAAGTGTTAGTCGTTATGTCATTGTCATCATCATCATCATCAGACCATAGTTTCTTTATTAGTAAGATAAAACCGTTGAGCTCAATCAGTGATTCTGTGAAGTGGAGGTAATAATAATACACACTTCATAGGGCAGTTGTGAGGAATAAATGAGTTAATGCATATAAACACAATATATATTATTATATTGTCATATCCTTTAATTAATTGCATATTAATGGGCCTACATATTTTTGTGAACCTTTTTGTTATTTTGTTCCTCTCAAATTCTTTTTTACTACTGACTTTATGTTGCTAAAATGGGAACAGGCAGAATAGGCATTTCATATATTCTAATTGGGAAGCCCTACACTAGATGACAATTGCTGGGGACCCTCTTATTCTGAAATTTTATAAATCTGCATCTCCAGTTTAAAGTTTATAGGCATTATTTTCATAGTTATTATTCTGTTGAGAACATTGGAAAGTGAAATTTGAGTTTCATTTGTTTAGAGTTAGTCTTTAGTTGGGCATTGTACTGGAAAGGATATAACTAGATAAATTAGTATTAGCATTGAGGAGATATTGATGCTGTTTAACCAGCTATTCACCTGAAATGCTTAGGGATTTTTTTTTTTTTCATTTTTCAATGGATACCAATAAAGTTTTTTTTCCAAATATTAATGAATCAAGTGAGATGACTTAGGTTTTAAGCTGGGCTTTAAAAAATGCATATCTTTTCTGTAAATTTGGGCAATGGAGATTGTATGTAGATTTATATTGTGATTTTATTCATGCCTGTTCCCCTTTAGTTGGGGAGATAACCCTGAAATTATCTAGAGGTTTACCTGACTTGATCATTTTCTGGTGCCCTCAGAATACAATTCCATTGTTTTGGCAAATTATTTTGACTCATGCAGCTCTATTACTTTAGTACTTCTGTGACCTTATAACATTAAAGATCAGATTTCAGTATATTTATTTTTCTTTTATTAGTTTATATATGTGCATTTAACCATACTATATTCTGAAATGAGTTTCTAAAATTCAGTTTGAGGGAAATTGAACAGCTTCTGATCAGGAGCTTAATTCTTTATTTTAGATATTGGAATCATTTTATGTAACAAATGTGGTTATTTGATTTTGGATAGTCATCTGTGGATTATCTATGTCTAATGCTGATCTTCATTCTCTTCTGGCCCCAGCTTCTAGCTGTTTTTCTGCTCCTCAGATCTGAATCTGTGAAAAGAGGGTGGAGTTGGTGGAACGAGACAGACATTGAAATTTTCCTCACTTAATTTTGTCCCTATGATCATCATTTTCTTAAGGCTGTTACTGCTTTGCTACACTGTTATAAACTATTCTCCTGTGCACATGCAAGTAAATATCAAATACATATTTTTTTGTTTACACAAAGATAGCTGTTAGGAAAACTGATTTTAATCTTTTTAAGGAATACCAACATATTTTTCACAAGTTAGAACAATGCAGAACTGATTTTTGGAAGACATGTACAGTATATCT